TGCAACGCGAGCAGGATCTGCACAAAGAAGTGCAGGATGGTCTCCTCCTCCAGCAGGGAATTACAGCGCTTTTGGATGAACTCAGCAAGGGTGCCGCCTGCAGCCGTAAGGGACTAGTCAAGACCCAGGCTTTTCAATGCCTGAGACTCTGCTTTTATGAAACTAAAGGCCCAGATGGGGCAAGGGCCTGCCAGTGTCACACAACTGGGGTCAGAACTCTCTACCTCTGACCCTCAGCCAAGCCCATTCCAAGGAGGGAAGCCAGCTGGTCTGTGTCTGCCTGTCCTAGAGGTGAGAGGCCCTTGGAGCCAGGCCAATACAAGGATGCTGGCCCACCTGGTGCATATTCCATGGCGATCATGAGGGCCTTGTCCTCCAGGAAGTTCTCGTAGTACTCAATGACATTGGGGTGGTTGAGCAGCTTGAGGACCTGGCACTCATTTTGGGCTGCCTGCCGCTCTTCCTTGGTCATCTGCTCCACTGGGATCTGCTTGATGATCACCAGCTTTTGGTCGGCTTTGCGCAGGCACAGGTGCACAATCCTGAGGATGCAGAGTACAGGAGTGGGTGCCAGCTGAGCCTCCAGCCACACATCAGGCAGGGCAGACCTGGTGACTGGATGTTCCAGAGGGGAGGGGGAACAGGCACCCAGACTAAGAGGTCATCTAACTAAGTGCACAGAACTCTGAGTTTAGAAATGAGGAGAGCTGACCACAAATTGTGTGTGAGACCTTGAGCAAGTCATTTAACTTATCTGAGACTCAGTTTCACCAGGGGCACAATGAGGTAAAGTTAGTCTTGATCTCTCTAAGTTCCCACAGACTCTGGAGTTAACTGCCTGGGTTCAAATCCTGGCTCCTCCTCTTACTAGTTATCTGGTCTTGGATCCTGTGACATCATCATCTGGAAAATAGACTTGACCTTATAGGGTTGTTGAGTGGATCAAATGAGAAAATGCACTTAGCACAGTGCCTAGTGCATCAAAAATGCTCAATAGGACCCACAACTAAAATATATGCAACTATGTACTGGGGGGATTTGGGGATAAAAAGCAATTTAAAAAAATGCTCAATGAGTGGAAGCCAATCATATCATTTTCTTCCAACTGGTCAGTGTTCATAAAAGCAGGGTTCTTGTTCTTTCTTATTCACTTCTGCATCCCCAGTGCATAGCCTAGTGCATACTCCAGCACATAACAGGAGCTCAATCAGTATCTGCTGAATGAATGGACTATAAGATGGTCCTCTAGGTATCAAATTTGTGTCTCGAGCTCAGCCCTCTCCTCTGAGCCCCAGACTTATCCAACTACCTGCTTTGCATCTCTACCTGAATGACTCGAGAGCATCCTAAATTTTAACAAATTCAAAATAAAACTCTTGATTCCTGTCCCCAAAACCTTTCTTTCCTCAGTATCTTCCATCTCAGTAAATGACACGACCATCCCCAAGTTACTAAAGTCAGACACCTGAAAATCATGCCAGGATCTTTCCTCCATCTCACACTAACCATCAGTAAATCCTGTTTCTACGTCCAAAATATCGTGAACCCACCCATTTCTCTTTGTGATCTCTGCTATAACCCTTGGCCAAATTATCATTTCTTGCCTAAAATATTGCACTAGGCTTCAAAATGGCCCCTTTCACTCTTGTCACCCTCAAATCTAAATTCCACACAGCAGCCAGAGTGACATTTTAAAAATACAAATCATAAAAAGACCATTCGTCTGCTTAAACCTCTTCCCTTTACACTGCAAATAAATTCAATCCCTTAACCTGAGCCTACGAGGCTATAATCTGGTCCCCGCCCTCCGTGATAATCACATTTTATACCCGTCTTTGCCTTGCCCACTACATTCCAACTGCATTAGTCTGGCAGTTTCTTAAATACTCTGAATTCTTTCTCACGTGAGGACCTTCGCATATGCTGTTTCCTCTGCCTGAAAAGCTCTGCCTTCACCTTCAGACTACTCGTCCTCATTCCTCAAGTCTCGGCTTTAAACTTCACGTCTGAGAAGAATTTTCCTTGACCACCCCAAATAAGTACTCCTTGGTGTTGTATAACTGCTTTAACAGTGTCTTGATTGTTGTATAATTTTCCTATAGTCTGTAAGCTCCGAGATAGAAAAGACCACGCCTGTTTTGGTCTTATCTGTACACCCAACACCGAGAGCCTGACGTGTAGAGTTGGCGCTCAACATCTGTTGAATGAATGAATCAGGAATCCAAGAACGCAACTCTGCGGGGGTGCAAAGGCTTGCCGGGGGCGTGACCTCGTTAGAGGCGGAGTCTCCCAGCCAGGACTGGGACCGGAAGCCTGGGCGGGGCTTCCCAGAGTGGGTGCTCACGCCTCGGGGCGGGGCTAGCCGAGCACTGATTTCGCGGTCAGAGTTGGGGTTTATTCTCCATCTCCCCGAGCAATTTCCTCCCCCAGAGCCCTGGCTTACCCGAAGGCACCTCTCCCCACCACTCGGATCCGCTCGTACTTCTCCATCTCATTTCTCAGAGTCACATTTCCGGAATCCCCCACACCCAGACGCGGCGCGTGCGCGGACCCGCCCACCCTGGGCCACGCCCCCTACGCTGTATGTTAATTGTGGGGCGGAGCAAGTGGAACAAGGTGTTGGTTTTGCCTGGGATCTCTGCCGATTTGCACCATTCCTGCAACCTCTATCCACAGTCTCTTTTCTAGGGTTCAAGGAATGGGGCGATATGCGATTTCTTGGCGCGCTCCGCAATGGCCGGCACGGTACCAGCCACTTTCCACACACGTGGCTGCATCTGGCCCTCGCAAAGCTTCCCTAGACCGGAGGAGTGCCCCGCGCGGGCCAAGTGAGGGTGGGAAGCGAGGACCGACCTCTCTCTGACCCCCTCTTTGCCCACTAGTGACGCTGTTTGGGAAAGAGGAGCAGATTCTCATTGACATGCAAACAATAAACAGTACCAAAACTGAAAAGAGGGGCCAGCCTGGTGGCGCAGCAGTTAAGTTCGCATGTTTCCCTTCGGAGGCCTGGGGTTCGCAAGTTCGGATCCCGGGTTCGGACATGGACCGCTTGGCAAGCCATGCTGTGGCAGGCGTCCCACATATAAAGTAGAGGAAGATGGGCACGGATGTTAGCTTAGGGCCAGTCTTCCTCAGCAAAAAGAGGAGGATTGGCAGCAGATGTTAGCTCAGGGCTAATCTTGCTCAAAAAAAAAAAAAAAGAAAGAAAGAAAGAAAGAAAGAAAGAAAAAACTGAACCGAAAGCATCACTGCTTTCGGTCTGTGGGGCAGGGAACAGAGTTAGTTTCGTGTTTGCCTAGGGAGGGACCCGGGGAAACCGCTAGCTGTACAAGTTGATTCACCTAGGGAGGACGTGACATGGTCTCCAGGCTGTCCCGACTAGTGAGCACCGCGGTCGTCAACACCCTCAACTACCCGATGCACACACACAACACTGTCGCAGGGTAATCTGCCTTCATAGCTCAACTAGGGCGAACCTCCTTAGGGGAAGGTGGGAGAGAAGTGGACCACTATCTGAGGGTCAGGGGGAGGCCGATATGGGTTTAAGGCTTCTGCCCAGAGGTAGGCTAGTTAGTACGATTGTCTAGGATCTTGACCGGAAGTGAGTTTAATTCCAGGCGTCTCTCTGGAGCTTCTTGCTCCTCGCAAGCCCCATAAAAGCTCAGGTAAGGAGCAGAAGGATGGTCATTAGCTAAGGGATAGCGTCCCTGTTTCGGAGTGGGTGAGGGCTGTGAGGAAAGGGGTGTTTATCTTCTGCTCTCACTCTACCCCTGGAAAGGGTGCCCAAACCTGCCCATGTGGAATGACCACTGGAACGGCCCCATGAGGGCCTCTCGGTCGCTGGCTCCGGCCGGTGTTGGCTGGCGGACAAAGCTGCCCCGTGAGCAAAGGGGAGCACAGAGGCGGAAAGCCGCTCACCCGGGACACTCGTGCTCTCACCTAGAAACCGATCGGGCCTTGGTTGACCCATGAGCCCCACAGGGGTTAATTTGTAACCTTGGAGCCATCGCGGGAGGCAGAGCAAACACCCAAACTGCTTGGCCCCTAGGTCTCTTGCGCCTCAGGCTTCTGGCTTTTCCTGCCTTTCGCAAAACCGCTCACCGCCTTCTCCCCCTACTACTCACTTCCTCTCCTTTACCACCCTGCCGCCCCGTGCCCCCTCGCCCCGGCTCTCAGAAGCTCCTCCGTTCGCCAGAGTCTGGCTAACTCTCCCCTGAAAGCAACCACCTCGTTCCTCTGGAGGCGGGAGGGGATCCCACGCCACAGTGTGGACAGACTGACACCTAGTGGCCGCGACCTGTAACTGCTCCAGGCCACTGCCCTGAAGAGTGAGGATCACCCCGCAGCCTGGGGAAGTCAGCCGGCTTCCCGGCCCCAGCCTCCAGGGAGCCGGAAGAAGAGAGCTGAGACTGTCTGAGGGAGGACCGTGACGGCCGCTCGGTCCCTGGAGCCCAAGAGCGGACTGGGAGGAGGGATGGTGATGGGTTAGTCAACAGTTTCTAGGCACCGACTCGGTGCGGGGCGCGGTAGAGGCAGGTAAACATGTCCGTCTCTGGCTTGAAGCAGCAGCTAGTGATCCAGTGGAGGAACGGGGCCTGGCTAGGGATCGTTGTCCGAGGCGGGGCTCCGACCTGTCCCCAGAACCAGGGTTTAAAGGACGTGGGGGTGTGACAGGAACCGCCCAGCTCTGCCCAGAAAGGCGTTGAGGGCGGAGAGAGAGTTCTCTCAGTACCGCCCAGGTTGGGGAGCCGGTGGCCCCGGGGAAAGTGGGGACGCGGGTTAATAAGGCCAAGCCAGCAAGGCGGGACTCCGTCGGCAGTCGGGAGGCGCCTGGCGCCCCCAGAACAGCCCCTTTTCGCCCGAAGGCTGCGGGAGCCGGGCAGGAGGCCCCCGGGAAAAGGGGCTCGCGCCCTCGGTGCCGGGGAGGCGCCGGAGGGGCGGGGACAGGCGGATGGGGCGGGGCGGGCGGCTGGAGGCGGGGGTAGAGGCCCGCGGGGAGGGCCGGGGAGGAGTGACGGGGCCTAGAGAGCTCCCCGAATACGGTGCGAGGCTGGCGGCCGGCGGAAGAGGCGTCCGGGGTGACTGGCCAGCGAGGGAGCTACGTTCCCTGAACAGCCCGGGGAGCCGCCTAGAGGGCGGACATTCAGACGGCGGGAAGGGCCAGCATGCCCCCCCTGCTGCACCCCGCCCTGCCGCTGCTCCTGGGCGCCACGCTGACCTTCCGGGCTCTCCGGCGCGCGCTCTGTCGCTTGCCCCTGCCCAAGCACGTGCGCGCCGACCCGCTGCGCACCTGGCGCTGGCACAACCTGCTCGTCTCCTTCGCGCATTCCATTGTGTCAGGGACCTGGGCGCTGCTGTGGTGAGTGAAGGCCTGGGGAGTGAAGGTGGCTAGAGGATCCCGCGTTACTCTCCCCATCCCTCACGGACGGGCTGAGGCCACGCAGTCCCACCTGATTCCCTATTTGGAATGCTGTCCAACCAGAAGCGGCAGCGGCCCCAGGGGAGACGGGAGACACCTGGGTTTCAGCCAAGCCCCTCCTCGCTCCCCAGTCAGCCAAAAGCACGATCCCAGACTCCTCGGGGACTGGCAAGGGTAATAGGGGAGTTGAGGGTCCTTGAGGATGCCGAGATGAGAGCCTGCCCTCTTCCCTCCTTTCTAGTGTATGGCAGGCTCCCGAGATGCTTGTGGAAATTGAGACGGCATGGTCGCTTTCTGGCTATCTGCTCGTTTGCTTCTCCGCGGGTAAGTCTTGCCCAGGAAACATTAAGTCGGTAGGAGGACAGGGCGTAGCTGCTTCTTCAGTCCCCTTCATGATCTGTTCCCCCATCCCTCCCCTAGGGTATTTTATCCACGACACGGTAGACATCGTGGTTAGTCGTCAGGCTCGAGCTTCTTGGGAATACCTCGTCCATCACGTCATGGTATGTGAGAAGCATGGGACGCGGTATAGGCCCGGTGCTAGCAACCTACTCTCAGCCCTGTCTTTCTGAACCTGGGAGGTAAAGACCATCTTTTCTTAACCCCATTCCCATCTTGTGTCCTGCATCTCATGCTAGGATGCTAAGGGTTGACACTGTCTCCGTGCCATTGGCTTACTATTTGAGGCCAGCAATTCATGGCCTTCCTTAGACTGGAAACCCCACCCCCAGAGCCAGAACCTGTGGGCTGGGATCAAAACTTAATCGTGTTGAATCCACTGTAAACTATAGTATTCCAAGAGGAAACGAGAGGATTTTCCAGCCCTCAGTCTGGGAGCCTTGGTGTCTGGGTTCCCTAACCTGGTCTCTCCCTTGTCTTCTAGGCCATGGCTGCCTTCTTTTCAGGCATCTTTTGGCGCAGTTTCGTCGGTGGGGGCGTCCTAACACTGCTGGTGGAGGTCAGCAACATCTTCCTCACCATCCGCATGATGATGAAGATCAACAATGCCCAGGATCTCCTCCTCTACCGGATCAACAAGTATGTCAACTTGGTTATGTACTTTCTCTTCCGCCTGGCCCCTCAGGCCTACCTCACCCATTTCTTCCTGCGTTACGTGGGCCAGATGACCCTTGGCACCTTTCTGCTGGGTGTCCTGCTCATGCTGGATGTCATGATCCTCATCTACTTTTCCCGCCTCCTCCGCTCGGACTTCTGCCCTGAGCGTGTCCCCCGCCGGCAACAGAAAGACAAGTTCTTGACTGAGTGAAAGGCACAGAGCCTGGGACTTGTGGCAAGGAGACAAACACAACCAGGAACAGCCTCCAACAGAAACTGAGAGACAGCCCCAAGTCTGGAGCATCCTCTCCATGTTTCAAGCTTGCGCCCACCATTGAAAACATTAATGAAAGCACTCCTCTGAAGTCCTTGTCCTTTCTTTGTCAAGGAGAGGGGAGCAGACAGACCGGTTGGAGATGATAGATGGGTGTGGGGACATGGTGCCAGCCCCACACTGCCCTGAAAATGAATGCTAATGAAAACCCTGGGTGTTGGTTTCATATAAAGCCTCTTCCAGGGATAAAGGAAGGGGCTCTTATAAAGCTTCTTGCTTGTTCTCTTACCCCTACGAAGGAGGCAAGTTGTAGTTGTGCTAGGACAACTAACCCTAGCCTGGGTCACAAATATCTCTGCTACCTGAGGTCCCACCACCAGGATTATAACAAGTCTGATGAAGTGTCAGGGCCAAGTGTTCCAACACAGTTCATAGACCAAGAGTCTTACCCAAGTCCTATTACTTAGGTGTGTATATACCTCAGTATGGCCTCCTCCCAGCCCAACCAGAAATCAACATAAAGACAAGAAGCATATATATAGTGAAAAAAAACTTGTATTTAGAATTAGCCAGCTGGACTCAGTTTAGATGATCCCAATCTGAAAAACAAAAGGGAGCTTTGTTACTGGGAGCTGCAATGTGAAGATTAAGCTGGAATGTCATGGTTAAAAAGCAAAATGATGGCTCATGGTGAGTGTAGGGCTATTAAGGATAGGGGTACAGTCAGTCAGTTAGGCCTAATCAGCAAAGGTCAGGCTTTGGTCGCTAACATACACATCATTTGCACCCGAGGGGTAGGTGTTAAGGAGTTTGTAGCAAACGAAGCTTACTTTGTTGGCAACATCCAAAGCATCATAGTCAGGAGCCAGTCGAACATATGCCTTCTTCTCTCCATCAGGCCTAGGGTGGAGAAGGAAGCCCTTAGACCCCGCTGCCCCTCACTGCCAGCATAGGCCCCTGCCTCCCCCAGTCTTTTGCGCATCAGTGGTTCCTTTGCTCATGTCATTCTTTTCCAAATAGTGATTTTTCCATCATTTGCGCATAGGGGACTAGGGAAGTCACTAAGCCACAAAGGAAGCCAATTACCTTTTCTGGGAAACACCACAGGACGTTTCAAGACCTAAATTGAGGTAGTCTGACATAAAATTGTATCTCACTTTAGGGCCTGCCTCTACCAGAGCACCAAAATGAGCAAATGAGCACCAAACGCGCAAATTAAGTCCCAGAGGCAGGACAAGCTCAAAAGCCTACACTCTACACATAGAACTAATTACAGCAGGGGCTACTCATTTCTCAAGGCTAGCACACTGTGAAACCACCTTCTGACCCCAAAAGCAGCATCAAGAAATTTCATGCGATTCAGGTTTCTTGGTTCCTGACTGAAGCACCAGCCTCCTCTCCATCCCACAGGGCCCCACTCACCTGATCAGGGTGTTGACCTTGGCCACATCAATGTCATAGAGCTTCTTTACAGCCTGTTTGATCTGATGCTTGTTGGCCTTGACATCCACAATGAACACAAGCGTGTTGTTGTCTTCTATCTTCTTCATGGCTGATTCGGTGGTCAAGGGGAACTTGATGATGGCATAGTGGTCAAGCCTGGGGGAGAGGCAAAATGGGGTCACCTGCCCAGGGTCCAGCAGAAGCAAAGATGGGCCCTCTTTTGGAGCCCAGGTGCATCAGACAACGAGGTAGCTATCATCTTCGTCAGACTTTGGTCGCTGAACAGTGTCATCATCTGCACCCTGAAACCTAGAGACCTGGAGCCTCGGCCTGGGGACAGAACCCTTGTGCATTCTTTCACTTGAAGGGCTTTCATCCTTTAAGTGATTCAAGAATCATCTTTGAGTTCCAAACCCCTTCATTCTTTATTTGACCTCAACGTTTCTGAAGGACAAATTGATGGAAGAAATTTGAGACGTGAGAGGTTAAACAACTTAACCCAAAAGCACAAAGCTAGACTACGGAATCCTGAAACCCAGATTAGGGTTCCAAAGAATGTTGGTGCTTCACTCTGTGGTTGAATAGACCATTTCTGTCCTCTTTGGTTGCTGAAAACTGGCTTGAGGGCTGGCCATCAATTCTTGAGAGCAACTTTTTATTTGCAGCTCAGGTTAAACTTAAAACCAGTGGCTTGAACACACCTATGACACAACATGCCCCCTGAAATTCAGAGAAGCAAGGCTCTATTCCACCGAACACAACCTTCTTGTTTTGAAGCTAGAGGTCAGGTCTCCACCTCTCATCACATTAAATTCTAGGTCCAAATGGGGGTAAAAAGTCTGTCAAGTGCTGTCCTCCATGGACACAACCCTCTCTCCTGCCTTTTTTTTAGGAAGCACAGTGGGAGGACCAGAAACCCATTGGTGGCAACTACTACCCTGGCTCTACTCTAATCTGTGCTCCCTACGGTCAGTTATCAGTAGCATGACACCCAAATACTCAAGTACCCTAACCTTTTGCCCATTTCCTCCTAACCATTCCATGAATGGAAAAATTTGGAAGAGTGATTGAAAAGAAGTTTCCACACACTGTGGCAGGACTTCACTGTCCACTACAGATAAATTAATCTCCTTATCAATCTACAGTCATCCCACATCCTGACCCTCAAGGACTGTTCCCTATAGCAACAGGTGCAACAAGGAACCAACTAAACCTGAACTCCAACACAAAGAACATTTCTCTAAGCCCTACTTTATACTCCCAAGAAAGTGGACTTTAAAACCCTGACCACATATGAAGCAATAATTAACCTAACAATTAACCTTGACAGTGACTCTGGGTTGTTTTACACAATTCCTGCCAATACTGTAAAAACGTCTCCGCTTGTTAAGTAGGGTATTAATGATCTTCTCTCACTCCCATTAGAGAAGCACACTAGGTTTAACATGTTTTTGAGAAGTCGTGCTCTAGGTTTGGTAAGTTTTCACATTACCAACGGAGAATCCCCAAACATCTTTTCATGGGTACGGGGCAGTACTGACTTGTTTCTCCGCGGGGCGCTCTTCCGAGGATACTTGGGTTGCCTTCGGAGCCGCAGTGTCTTGGGCCGTCGGAAGGTGGGTGACGTACGGATCTTCTTTTTTTTGTGGCTCTGGACGCCTTTTAGCACAGCTTTCTTGGCCTTCAAAGCCTTTGCTTTGGCTTCGGCTTTGGGAGGGGCAGGGGCTGAGAGAAGGAAAGAAAATAAGGGTGCGAGATTCAGAAATCGATCACTTCCGGCCTCAAGACCGGTAGTGGGCACCCCAGGCCACACGTGCATCAGCGGTTCCTTTGAAGACATCACAAATTTCAGGTGGTTTAATTTTTTCCATCATGTGCACGATACTGGGAAGAACTTGGAGTAACTCCAGGGATACAAGAAAAACAAAAAGTAACTAACAACGATCGAATGCTTGATACTTGCCAGGATGTGTGCTGATTTAATATATACCATCGCACAGTCACCCTGGAAGGGAACATAGTGCCGTCTAACAAGAAGAAAAAAAAAGAAAGTTGATGGCACTGACTCCTTATAGGTCTGGAGACATGGAGCTCCGGCCTGTAGATGCGTGTAGCTCCCCAGGGCCAATTGTCTGGCTGTCCCCCGCGGGTGGTGCCGGCCGCGCTTGCCTCCCCAACCCCCTTCACTGGAGCCCATGCGGCTGGGCCCACGCGCACCGCAGCGCGGCCGAAACGCAAGGAGCAGCTCCAGAGCAGACACCCCAAGCCTTAGCCTAGCCATCGTCCTCCCAGTTCGCTCGCTCTCCGGGGATCCCAGACCAGCCAGCGGCAGCCCCTAGCCCGAGCACACACCTTCCTTCTTCGCTTTCGGCGCCATCTTCTTGAAAAGGGTTTCCAAGACCCGGTTCCACGGGCTTATAGAGCCAAATCTCATCGAAGACTCGCGATGCTTTTTACTTAAAGATGATTGGATAATTTTGTAGCGCGGCGCCCGCCGGGAATGGTAGTTGGGTTTAATTTCCTCGCGAGAGGAACTACGCAGGCGCCGCCTCCGCTCGTAAGCTGCTAAAGCTTCTTGGGGGTTGTAGTTTTTTGGAGACACGTTTTTATTTGCTGCGGCCCGGCGCCGGATGGGTGAAGCTGGCCACAGCTTCGGTCTGACCCTGAGCGCTTCTCATTTTGAGCAACTTCAAAGAGGATTGCAGTTCCAGGAGATAATAATACTGCAAACTGGAATGAATATGGTTAGAGTGACCCAGGGAAAGTGAAGCAAAATTCTAGAACGTTAGTGCAGAATTTTTCCGGTCCAACTCCCTCAGACGACATCTGTGGAAATTGAGGTCCGGAGAGGGGACGTGACTTATTAATAACAGTGATTTGGTGGCAGAAAAAGTAGAGTCAGGCAGAGGGGAGGAGCAGTGTCAGAGGAGGTAGGAGGCAGCCACATCTGCCCCTGTGACAATTAGATTTCCTGCGTTTCCCCGGTAATACTCTGGAAGAAACTCTACCAATATTCCAAACACACAGCGCGCAGGTTTCTCCAGGATTCGCTAGCTTTTCTTGCGGATAATTTCACTCACAGTCCCCTCCTTTAAGTAGTCTTCGTTACCCTGCCCCAGTCATTTTTGCATCCTCAGATTCAGTTCCCGACACACAGCAAGGTTTAGTCACGCTCAGGTTTGTCAGGTTTGCATCTCTGAGGGTCTGCCTACCCCACCTCCACACGGCCCTTTCTGCCTTTCCCCTCCCCTCTTGGAACGAGATTTCCCCTTTCAAGGTGAGATTTGTTGTGTGCTACCCTCTCTTCTATCCTGCAAAACTGCAAAAAGGAAAAGTTGTCTTTGGTGGGGAGAGATTCCAATGGGATCAAAGCGAAGAACGCCATAACAGAGGGGAGTCCCCACGTCGCGGAGCGGTGGCCTCCCCAAAGGGCTAAGTTCTCGGTCCACCTAGCCCTTCTTTATTCTCCATCCAGGGAGGCAGCTTGGTCTTCGGCCTCCCCACCCCTCAATCTACACGACAACCTTGGAGGAAAAGACACCAGACTTTGGACGTCTCTCTCCTTGGTGGGCACCCCGTTCCGACCTTGGCACCCCCTCTGTGCTCCCCTCTCATCCTCCCGGGGCAGAAGGGCGAGCAGGGGCAGACTCTATGAGTCACGTCCTGGGCCTGAAGTTGAGGAGGGAAGCACCGCCTCTCCTAGGGCCCCTTCTCTCCCCCTTTTCCCTCCCGCTGGTTCCTGGCGCAGCCAGATCCTGCGCAGCAGTCACCGATACCCCATCACCGGTTCGCCTGGGTAAGGGTCCCCAAGGAGGCGCAGCTCCGCACAGAGGTGCAGGGGAGAGCGACCTGGGGGATCCCGATCTGGGCTGGTTCCAGCCTGGGTGGGGGTAGTCCTGGTGCCCGCTGAGGCGTCTGGAGGGGGAGCCTGAGCAGCGCAGGGGGAGGAGAAGAAGGGGAGGCCCGGGCGGGCTGCGAGGCCGGGAGTTGCCGGGAGAGGGGCGAGGGGCGGCCCTTCTCCAGGAATTTCCGGGGATCATGTTACAGCGCTGGCGGAGGAAGAGCCCAGTGGGACGCGAGGCCCTGCAACGGACTGGGCCCCTCGCCCCCTCCTTCAGCCGCCCGCGGGCTTCGCAGCGCCGTCCCTGCCCACACTGACCCCGTGTGGCGGGGCCGCTCCGCGCCCCTGGGCCGCTCTGTTATGGTAGGGCCACCTCAACCCCGAGTTGTCGTCGGGTCTCCGCGGCCTCGAGTTATTGTAGGGACGATCCGGCCCCGAGTTATTGTAGGGTCTACGCGGGCCCGGGCCCCCCAAGACGGGACTCCCCGCCCCCATTTGGCGGCAGAGGGGTCTCCTCGCCCCCGAGTCGTCCTCGGGACGCCCCGGGCCCGGGTAATTGTGGGCTCGCCCCGGCCCCGGGTGATTGTCTCATCCCCGTGGCCCGCGGTGGTCGTAGCGTCCCCAAGGCCACGGGCTCCCGTAGACTCCCCGTGGCCCCGAGTTATAGTCGGGACACCTCGGTCGCGGGTGATTGTCGGGTCTCCACGGGCCCGGGTCGCTGGGGCGGATCAGGCCTCCGCGCCTTCTCAGAGCGCCCCGCAAGGACGTAGGCAAGATGAACATTCTGGCGCCGGTGCGGAGGGACCGCGTCCTGGCGGAGCTGCCCCAGGTAGGCGTCAGGGCCACGTCGGGCTTCTGGCTGCTGTAGGGTGTGGGCGGGGAGGAGGTGGCATCGGACCAGTTCCAGGCTTGGGCCCAGCCCTTCCGCCCTGCTAGGCCTGCTGCTTCTGGGTGGTCCGCTCCCCACCCCCCAACCTCACTCCCTCCCTGGGCTACTTGGCTTCGGGACAAGGGCCCGGAGTGGGTGAGTCCCATTCTCTTCCATCCCTTCCAGTGCCTGAGGAAGGAGGCCGCTTTGCACGTGCACAAAGGCTTCCACCCCCGCGTCACCTGCGCCTGCCAGGAGCACCGGACAGGCACCGTGGGGTGAGTTAGAGACCCCATAACAAAGAAGGGAAACCCTGTAGTGGAAGCCAGGGTACACAAGCAACCCCTTGGGGCTTTGTTCAGCCTCTGCCAACTATATGGTTATTCCTCCTTTTTTTTTTTTTTTTTTTTTAAAGATTTTATTTTTCCTTTTTCTCCCCAAAGCCACCCGGTACATAGTTGTGTATTCTTCGTTGTGGGCTCTTCTAGTTGTGGCATGTGGGACGCTGCCTCAGCGTGGTCTCATGAGCAGTGCCATGTCCGCGCCCAGGATTCGAACTACGAAACACTGGGCCGCCTGCAGCAGAGCGCGCGAACTTAACCACTCGGCCACGGGGCCAGCCCCGATTATTCCTCCTTTTTTGCCCCCGTGTTCTCCCCTTTCTTCCCAGCAAGGTTGTGGTGAGCCCTATGAGATGGGTTGGGGTGGAAAGGTGGCAGTTCAATTCCTGACACAGAGAAGGTGTCCAGCATGAAGAGGTGGTCAGCAGCTCAGCTTCCAACATATCATCCATTTGAGCCCCAGGGTGGGGGGTTGTGCCTACAGGGATGAATCCCATTGTGGGTAAAAAAGGGTAGTATTAATAACAGTTGGCACCATTAATTGAGCATTTACTGTGTGCCAGGCGGTGTGTTGGGTACTATTATTGTCTTTTATTAAATAGAAAACACCATCACTTTTAAGATGTATCCTGATTTCAGAGATGTTAAAATGTATGTGTGTAGGGCGGATATGTCTCAGAATATAGGACATTTATCTCATTTTAACCTTCACAATAACCCGATAAAATATATACTAAATCTCCACTTAACAAATGTTGAAACCGAGGCTCAGAGAGGCTAACTTGTCCTAAGTCACACAGCTAGTAGGTGTAAGAGCTGGGATTCAAATTCATGTCTCTCTGATACTGAAGCACAAAACACTCCTCCCCAGCACATCTCTCCCAGGCAAGCTGCCTGGGAGGCCTGGTGTCTGTGGTAGCCTCAGCCTGGGTGCAGCTACCTTCGTGGACCTACTAGGGAGCACTGGGACTCCCTAGGGTGAAAGAACTAGCGTCCCCTCCTCCTGCCCACTCTTGTGTCCAGCAGATTTAAGATCTCCAAGGTCATTGTGGTGGGGGACCTGTCGGTGGGGAAGACTTGTCTCATTAATAGGTAAGAGGGGGCTGGCCGGAGCTGAGCTGGGTTGGGCTGGGCAGGGTAGGGCCACGCCTAGCCAGGTGGGCTGGGCTCAGGGCCAGAGCATCCTTTGTCCCCTCAGATTCTGCAAAGACACCTTTGATAAGAATTACAAGGCCACCATCGGAGTGGACTTTGAGATGGAACGATTTGAGGTGTTGGGCGTCCCCTTCAGTCTGCAGCTGTGAGTTCTCCCTCCACCCCTTCCAGCCATTCCTTCCCCTAGCACCTATACCCCATGTCACCCCCACCCCCACACCTGTATTTCACCCCTCCTTCCTCCCAGCTGGGATACTGCTGGACAGGAGAGGTTCAAATGCATTGCATCAACCTACTACCGAGGAGCCCAAGGTAAGGGGCTGGGTGAAGTGGGGGTACACCTGGCCTCTAATCTAGGGCCTGGGAGATTGTGGCAATGAGCCAGTTGTATCTTCCCCGTCAACCTGGGGCTGTTTCTGCCACTCTTCCAGCCATCATCATTGTCTTCAACCTGAATGATGTGGCTTCCCTGGAACATACCAAGTATGTGGGGATGCTGAACTACAGTGGGGGCTCAGGGGAGAGGGGGTTCAGAAAAGAATGGGGGTCAGGGGCATGGTAGGGAAGGAAAAGAATGCATCTAGGACCAAAGAGAAGGTAATTAGGCATATGACTGTTGGCGAGAGGAGCCTGTCCAGCTCACTCATCTCTCACTGTCCACCATCTGTGGCAGGCAGTGGCTAGCTGATGCACTCAAGGAGAACGACCCTTCTAGCGTGCTTCTCTTCCTCGTGGGTTCCAAGAAAGACTTGAGTGTGAGTGTGCCAGTGGGGGGACTTTCCAACTTGATGAGGGGAACCCCTCGATCTGACTCTGGCTTTCCGTCAGACTCCTGCTCAGTATGTGCTAATGGAGAAAGATGCGCTCAAGATGGCCCAAGAGATGAAGGCCGAGTACTGGGCAGTCTCATCTCTCACTGGTGAGTCGGAGCCTTCGGGCCTTCTGCTGTGGCATTTCTGCCTCCCTTGCCTCGCTTTCCTACGCCTCCCCCTGTGCCCAATGAACTCAGGCCTGGCACTGCCCCTGAGCACCCATCTCCCTGTGTCAGGTGAAAATGTCCGGGAATTCTTCTTCCGTGTGGCAGCACTGACCTTTGAGGCCAACGTGCTGGCTGAGCTGGAGAAATCGGGAGCCCGGCGCATTGGGGATGTTGTTCGTGAGTGCCCACCTGGATGAGGGTGGCAGAGGGCACAGGGACCCTCCAATCCCTGCTCTAATATTCCCCACCCTTCTTCAGGCATCAGCAGTGAAGACAGCAACCTCTACCTAACTGCCAGCAAGAAGAAGCTCACGTGTTGCCGATGAGGGGTGAGGGAACTGTCCAGAGGCTGCCCAGCCCTGGGGCACTCTGGCACCCTGACTCCCCCAGAGCTCGGCCCCTGGACATTTGCACTGACTGTTTCTCCAGACCAAAGACCTGCCCCTTGGTGGCAGTACCCCCTAGAGGGGTAGCAGGGACCAGCTAGTCACTTCCTGCCCCTAGGCACTATGCCAAAGACTGGATGCCCCCCTCTGCCAGGAGCACAACCATAGTGAAGTGGTCCTTGCTGCTTTTGTTCAGCCTGCTGGGCCCTTTGGGGATGCGGATGCTTAATGATCCCAGGCTCACACTGTGCCTTATGCATTAAAGTCTCCGTTATTAGCAGTTTGGGGGCTGGAGGCCTTTGTTGGGGATGAGAGATGTGAAATGGGCAGGGCTGTATGGCAATCTTGGGACTGGAGGCTTCTGCTGGGATTCTGGCCATCCCTGGCTCCTGGGCAGGCCCCAGGCAGTCTGGGAGCTCAGGGACCAGGTTAAGGGGGCTACACTGCACTCTCACTGAGTGACATCTGAATGTTTGGCTTTGCATTGGTCTCTTCCTCCCAAATGTGTCCTCCTTTGGTGCTTATACCCAAATTTCCACCATTGGATAATATTTTTCTTTTTTTCACACTCTTTCTGCTTTTCCTTTAAAAAATACTTATTTGAGAGGAACACAGTGAGAAACGATTGAGTTTTGGATGCTTTTTGGGTTGACCAGAAGGCCCCGGGGGGAGGGGGGGAGGTATCAGAAGAAGTGCTATCTAATGTCTATATTAGTGATACAAACATAAAACTATGAGTAGTATTTTTTTTGTATTTAGTGATATACACATAAAACTATGAGTAGTATTTTTTTACATTTTAAAACATGATTAGGGGCCAGCCCCATGGCCTAATGGTTCAGTTCGGTGTGCTGGGCCCATGGCCGAGTGGTTAAGTTCACACACTCCACTTCAGCAACTGGGGGTTTTGCTGGTTCGCATCCTGGGCACAGACATGGCACTGCTCATCAAGCCATGCTAAGGCGGCACCCGACATAGCACACCTGGAAGCACCTACAACTAGAATATACAACTATGGTGCCAGCCTGGTGGTATAGTGGTTAAGTGTGTACGTTCTGCTTTGGCAGCCCGGGGTTTGCTGGTTCAGATCCCGGGTGCAGACATGGCACTGCTTGACAAGCCATGCTGTGGTAGGCGTCCCACATATAAAGTAGAGGAAGATGGGCCCAGATGTTAGCTCAGGGCCAGCCTTCCTCAGCAAAAAGAGGAGGATTGGTGGCAGATGTTAGCTCAAGGCTAATCTTCCTCAAAAAAAAAAAAAAAAGAATATGCAACTATGCACTAGGGGGATTTGGGGACAAAGAAAAAAAGAGAAGATTGGCAACAGATGTTAGCTCTGGTGCCAATCTTAAAAAAAAGTTCAGTGCACTCTGCTTTGGTGGCCTGGGTTCAGTTCCTAGGCACAGACCTACACCATTCATTGGCAGACATGCTGTGGTGGGGACCCATATACAAAAAAGAGGAAGATTGGCACAGATGTTGGCTCAGGGCAAGTCTTCCTCAGAAAAAAAAAGGTGCCAAGAGCAATTGAGGGGTGTGATGTGTGGAATGTCGGTGATCTGGCTCTGATGCTTTTCTACTCTCCTGGAATTGTTTTTTCCATTCCCTTCCAGGACTGCACTCCTCACCCCTTGCTTTGCACGGAGGCTGTAACTCAATGTGTGTGTGTGTGTGTGTGTGTGTGTGTGAAGCCTGCACCACAGTACTGCTGAGGAGTGTTTGTGCTGCCTGGAGTGTGGGGAGGAGGGGTGTGGTTCTGTGTCCTGACTGCTGTTTGTGAGAGGTGTCTGCATGTTGCATTTGTTTGTGTGTGGTGAGATTTTTTATGTGCCCTACGTGTGCGATACATGCATGTGCAGTGTGTATATTATACTTAAGGGTGTGAGGAGTGTGCAGTGTGAGGGTTGTGTGTAGTCGGTTACTATAAATGCAGCTGGTCCTGCTTACTGCACGGGGCAAGCCTATGGAGATACACGAAGTTGCATCAATGAGATAAGATAAAGCACTAACACACATAGGAAGCGCTCAAAACCCTTAACTATTAAAATAACTGTTTTAGAAAGGAGTGACCAAGACCCTGGCTCTATGTTGACATCTTTCTTGGGCGCCAAGAAGTGCAGGACTTGGCTGGAGCCCGCTGGGGCTAGGAAGGAACGTTGGGAAGGGTCGTCACAGGGGAGCTGGGGGCCGACATCATGTCCTCATTCGGGAGTTCGGCCATGGGCTGCTGTGGAGCGACCTGCGGGCAGGGAGCAAGCGAGCGGGCCCGGCCTCCCGCCAGGGCAGGAGGGACCTCGGAACAGCCGGGATGACAGGGTGGAGGTTGGAGGAAGTCGCTTCCCAGGCGGGCGGGCGAGGGCTCAAGGGTAGACTGTTGGCGGGTCTCAGGGTCGGAAGGATTGGGAGGGGCCGGGGGCGGGCCGAAGGATGCGGTCGAGAGAATAGCTGGGGCGGGGCTAAGAACGGGGCCAGGGGCGGGGCTAAAGCCTGAGGGTAGGGCTAAGAGCAGCGAGAAGGTCTGGAAAGGAACTAGGGATGGGACTGAGGGCTGGGCCCGAGATAAAGGGGAGGTACTAAGGTTGAAGGTGGGACAAAGAGGGGCCTGGAAGGAGCTGGGAGGCCCCAGATGAAGAGGGCGACTGAGCTTAGACGTGGGCTGAGAGGACAACGCAAACTAGAACGGGGGAGGGGTGGGGGTGGAGGGATAGGGCAAGCATGAGGCAGAGTTAGGGGCTGGGCTGGGGCCAAGCTGAGACTGGGGTTTATGGTTGGCTCGGCCAAGCTGAGGTTCAGGGTTGGACTTCGACAAGGAAGAGTCTTGTAGAGAAGAAGAACTGGGCTGAGAGCGATGTGGGTCAGGACGACACTGACGACTGAAAGATGGACTAGTGAAAAGACTGAGGACGATGCCAACATCTGGGATGAGAGCAGCTGGGGTAAGGAGGGGACGGGGCAGAAGATTAGGGGAGGGCTTCGAGCTGGGGGCGTGGCACGTGAACTGCCCTGAGTACTCCGGGAGAGTGTAGGACTGAACGGAACCTGACAAAGGAGGCGGGGCCAAGGGCTGGGCTGGGGCGGAGTTAGGGCTTGGAGGCGGGCTCACTTCGAGCCTTGAACCAATGATGGAGGACTAGAGTCCTGAGGCCCTGGGGAATCGCTTGCGGATTGGCTGGGGCGGTCCGGCTGGAGCCAGAGCTGCAAATCCTAGTTGTAGGGATGGAAGGCAGCGTTGTGGTGCAGCAGGGCGCCCAGGCCACCGCCCAATAAGTGCAGGACCTGGCTGAAGCCCATGGTCCAGCGCCCACCCACTCCCCTGGGCTGGGGCGGGCGGTTCCATTGACTCCGGGGGCAGGAAGGAGTCTGGAGGTTCCACGCGTGACATCACAATTGCCTTCAGATGTGGGCGGGGCCAGGGCGGCATTTCCAAGGAGACGCTTGCACACTGCCCCTGCCTTGCTCCCTCCTTTTCCCTCCTTCCCTTCCTTGGTTATTCCCTCCCTCCCTTTCTCCCTCCCTCCCTCCCCTATTCAGCTCTTCTGGTGCCCAACCTGGAACCCTACCCCCTGTGCCGCAAGGGAGGGGGGCTCTCCTCAGCCCGCAGGACTGGGAGGATTCTGTACAAATGAGCATCACCTGTGAGTTTTGAGTTAGGCCCCTGTGCCCCATTAACGCTCTACCGAGAAAGAGAAAACAAGCCTCCCTCTTCCTTTCAAGAGACCACCCTCATTTATTATGAAGTCTCCCCTGTGTCCACTTCAACCACTTCTGCTGCAAGAGCTCTCGTTCTGTCTGTGAAGCCAGAGAACAGACTGCCTTCCTCAGATCTGAGGAGAGTTACTAAGTCCCTCCCCTCAGCAAACAGAATTATGCTTGTTAGGGCTTCTTGGGGATTTGGGGGATGTTAATCAGCAGACCCTGAATATAAGCCTCTTTCATGGTGACTCGGGAGAGAGCAAGGACAGTGGAGTCAGATAAAGCAGAGGTTGAACCCAGACCCCGGCTCAGGGCCCTCTGGCCTGACCTTAGGGTCCACATCATAAGGGACAAGCGAGGCTGTGGAGTTAGGACTGACAAAAACCAGAGGATGAGGGATTGACTGTTATCGAGATGAAAATCAGGTGTATTAGAAAGTGACAGCTTGCAGGATGGGTTTGGGAGAGGAACCCCAAGTAGACAGGGCTAAAAGAGAACAGGCTATGGAGCCAGGAAGACTGGGTTTGAATCCTACCTCTGTCATCTATTAACTTGTGTCTTTGGACAAGTTACTTATCCTGAGTCTGTGTTCCCATCCACAGAATGCGTTGTGTAATTTAGAATCAAAGGCCTATTTGAGGCACTGGCCCCACAGCCTAATTGTTAAGTGCAGTGCACTCTGTTTCAGCAGCCAGGGTTCGCTTCACAGGCGTAGACCTACACTACTCGTCGGTGGCCATGCTGTGGCAGCAACCCATATACAAAATAGAGGAAGACTGGCATAGATGTTAGCTCAGGACAAATCTTCCTCAAGCAAAAACAGGAAGATGGGCAACAGATGTTAGCTCAGGGCACCTTTTCCTCAGCAAAAAAAAAAAAAAAAAAAAAAAAAAAAAATAAAAGGCATATTTTAAAAGCCCAGCACAGAGTCTGACATTGGGAAGATGGTCATCTTGGGTAAGTTTTCTTCCCCTAGAAAAGTCCCCAAGTCTGAACCCTGGGCAGAATCTCCAATGCCATAGCTACTTTGTGGCTCCAATATGGGGTTTATTCTATTCTACTCATGTATTCATTTGATCAACTAACATTTACTGAGCACCTTCCATGTCCCAGGACCTGTAGACACAGAGGCAGATGAAATATGGGCCTTGTTCTTAAGTTGCTATAGAGTACTTATATGCAGTACCACGGCAGGGTAAAGGGGCACAAGACATATGACCAGTTCTACTTGGACAGCATTGTTCTTTCCAAGATGAGCAGGTGCTTCTTGGAAGTGGAGGCAGGAGAGAAGGAATGGAGAAGGGAGAGGTGGGAGGATGGATGGATGCGGGGGAGGAACTGATAACTGAGGAAGGAACCAAGACCTGGGTCCTAGAGGGCCAGTTATGTCATGATAAGGAGTGCACCTCATCCTGAAGGTAGTGGAATGACATTAAGGAGGAGCAACATGGTGGACTGCTTGGTACTCTTAAAACTCAGTTTGGCTTCATTGTGAGAACTGGATGAGGGTAGTGAGACAGGAGGCAGGGAGGCCGGGCAGGAGGCTACTGCAGCTGTCTTGGTGTGAGATAATGAAGGTCTGAACCAAGACAGGGGCAGATGTGGGGGCAGGCAGGCATGACAAGACTTGGTCATCTGGGGCCGGCCCGGTGGCGCAGTGGTTAAGTTCACACGTTCCACTTCTCGGCGGCCTGGGGTTCACTGGTTCGGATCCCGGGTGCGGACACGGCACCGCTTGGCACGCCATGCTGTGGTAGGCATCCCACATATAAAGTAGAGGAAGATGGGCACAGATGTTAGCTCAGGGCCAGGCTTCCTCAGCAAAAAGAGGAGGACTGGCAGTAGTTAGCTGAGGGCTAATCTTCCTCAAAAAAAAAAAAAAAAAAGACTTGGACATCAAGTTGGTGTAGAAGTGAGGGAAAGAATCATCCCTAGATTCTAGCTGAGCTGTCTGTTGCTCTCTGAAATTGAAGATCCAAGAGGAGATGGTTTATGGAGGGTAGGGAGAAGATGGTAGTTCATGTGGGACATGCTGGTGTAAGATGTTCTGGGAATGTCCAAAACAATATTGGCTATGTGCTTGGGAAGGCAGTCTGGATTGGAGACCCAGATTTACATCATTTTATTGGTGGGTATTGAAACCATGGAAGTGGATGACATTATCCAAGACAAGCCTGTAAAGTCTTCTGAGAAGGAAGGAGACAGCAAAGGAGTTAGGAAAGAACTAAAAAGCTAGTCAGGGAAGGAAGAGAGAGAGGAGATGAGAGAGACCTGTCATGGGAGTCAAAGGAACAGTTTTCAGAAGAAGAGACTGATTAGTCAATGGAAGAGATGAAGAAAAAACGGCCACTGGGTTTTGCTATCAGGAAATCAACAGTGGCCTTTGCCTGGCCTCTTCCGATAGAGGGGTCCAGATGACTGCCATGTTGTAGGGGGCTGAGTAGAAGAGAGAGGTGGAGGCTCAGCTCTCTGAAGGTAGGGACTGGGCCTCCTTCACTGGTGCCTAGTGAAGCTATCCAATGTGTCTGTTAAATGAATGAGTGAATAAACTGGGATTGAAAACGAAGACGGGTGGGTTATGTAGTGGTAGAGGGAGAAACAGAGTTCACAGAGTCTTTTGTTTAAAGGTGTTTATAGCCTGTAGGAAAAAACAAACAAAACAAAAACATTAAAGAGGGAGAAGGAGAAAATTCTGGCTGGGATCTAGAGTTCAAATGCTTTGGGCAGGACGAAGGAGCAATACTTCCCCAGGCTGGAGGAGAGCTCATGTGGGAGCAGCCACAGACAAGGCTGGTGAAATGATCTGCTGAGAGAGCAGCAGCAGGGTAGGAGCTTCCAAGGAAGTGCTTGAAGTATCATTCATTCATTCAATAAATTTTGAGTACTTACTGTGCTGTGAAAAACAGAAGAGGCTGACCAGGGACCTGTAGAGGGATGCCCAAGTGCCACTGAAGGCCCGGCTGAAGTCCCCAAGCAATCAGCTTCCCTTCCCTAAGTAGGACTCAGCTCCAATGCCCCAAAAACCGAAGCTAATTGTTGGGAAGAAAATGAAAGTGCCAGACTCCACCCTGTGGTTGCTGGTGGAGCTGCTGTCCCAGCTGGAGTTCTGCTTGGGAACACCCTCTAACTAGGCTCCACATACCCTGGGACAATTCCTGGAACTGTCCCTCCTTTCCTGAACTCTGGCTTACTCCTATCCATTACTTTAGCTTCAGCTTCTAGCATTCTTCTTCCAAGAAGTCTTTTCTAATTCTCCCCACCCCCAAGGTTTCCGTAGGTATCCCTGTTCTGTGCTCTCACAGGCCTTTCTCACCATTTCCCTCCCTATCATCGTCTGCATCACACCACTGTCCTGAACAGTGCCACATACCTTCCCTGCAGCCCTCTCCCCGCCCCCCCCCCCAACACCTTGAGAGCAGGGACTGTTGTGTTGTTTTTTCAATTTCTGCATCTCTGGGGTGCAGCTGGGGCCCCACACCTGGAGCGTCTCAGGAAATGTTTGATGAATGAATGGCATGGGGAGAGGGGCTGCTGCTGCTACTCTGTACTCTCTCAGATATAAACAGGTTGCCCAGTTGGGAGAGAGGACATCTGCTGGCTGGTGTGGCGTCTAGCACTGATGCATCTACCTTCTCTGAAGGTGGGTCGAGTGGATCTCTGCCCCGGGGTCCCCACCACGTCTCACCTGGCAAAGCTGACACCTGGTGGGAAGCAGGAGGGAGGGAAGTGCTTGGTCCTGAAGGGGTTACCCAGCCACCCCACCTCCACCCTATCCCCTACTCATGTGAGACAGAGGGCCCCTTCCTGGAGGCCACAATCACTCCTCTCCATTGTAGAGCACTTTATAGTCCACAATATGAACTGAGTCTTCCCAAGAACCATGCAGAATAGCTATTACCGCCATCCTCATTTTATGCACAAGGAAATGAAGGTTCAGAGAAGTAAAATAACTTGCCCTAGGTCACCCAGTTAGTAAGTGACAGAACCAAGACTTGGACTCAGGCCTGTCTGACCACAAGTTCAGGGCACTTGCCACTGTGCTGCCCTTTGTCCCAGTTCAGCAGTGCTGAAGAAACCCAAGGTGGTGGTAGTGTTCCAAGATCCTACCTCACATGCCTTATTTCTTTCAGGATGGAGAAAGGGCATGGGGTCAGGGGTGTATGGGAGACCTGGGACCCTCACAGCTTGGTGTGGAGAAAGGAAAGGAAGAGGAATGTGGGGGAGGCTCAGACCAAGCTGCTATCTCCTCACCTCTCAAGTACTTTAAGGACACTTGGACTAACACACCTCCAGCCTGGTTTAACTCCTGGCTGGTGGCCAGTATGAGGTCTTGCCCAGGTTTCACCTGCCTCGTGGGGGGTGGATAAAGGCGAAATCCTCCTGGGCTGCTTGGAGGGAGTTAGCCAGCCACAGCACCCCATGCCATGCTGCCATGGAACTCATCAGCGCCCACCCACTCCTTCTTCTGGGGTGAGCGGAGCTGGAGTCCAGGGGGGAACTGTATGAAGGTGCCCTGTCCTCTCTGTCCTTGTGTATGAGACCTTGGGCATGTGGAGTCACCTCATGGGCTTACTTTTTAGACGGGGGCCTGAGGGAGAGCCACTGGTAGACTGGAGCCATAGGCAGGGTCAGAGGTGAGGCAGTGGGGGGTGGAGGCTGGCAGACTCCAGTGTGTGTCCAGGGCTTGCATTTGGCTGAGCAAAAGAGGTGGGAGCCTTTCTCCAGGGCTTTCCCCTAACCCCAAATTCTCACCCCAGCAGCTTCTCCCCTGTGCCTTGGGAAAGGGGACATGGTATCTATGCTGCCTACATGAGGTGGAAGGGTGCAGGCTGGGGATAGGTTGTTCAGAAGTCTGTGGCTCTAAGGACTGAAGAGAGAGAATGGACAGAGAATGGGAACTTGATGAATCAAGAGTAGGGAAAGAAATCAAGAATGAGCATGGGAAAGGGGAGAGAAGTGAGAAAGGCATCAGGAGGGAAAAGGAGCTTGGAGAAGAAAGGAGGGAAAAGGGAAGGACCAGAGTCAGGAGAAGGTAGCAGGGAGCATGACATACCATGAGTTAGATCTCAGCTCCTCTCCAGGCCTGAGTTGCTATGCTGTGGTAGGCCTTGTGTCTGGAGTGGCTTCAGAGGCTGTGAGGTGTTGGATGTAGGCCTCCTGGGCCCGTGCAGGGCAGGCATAGGAACTGAGGATGCTGCTGCTGCTGGGGCCTCTGAAGTCATGCTTCTGTCTGCCATGTGGCTCCACAGTTGGCCATGTCAAGACAGCCTTCTCCTACTCAGATACCCTGTGGGGTAGGGTAGCTGACAACTCTGAGTGGCCGGGTGAGGGGCAGGCGGGAGTCACTGGAGGGACCCAGGAGGGTAGGCTCCCACAAAAGGCAGGGGAGGGGAAGAGGCAAATGTGATAGGACAGCAAGGGGGACTTGGTGAGGACCTTGGTGAGACATTTTCCTGGAGTCTGCAGAAGGAAGGCAGATTCATGCTGCAGATTGGGGAAGGGGGAGTGCGGGGGCCTGCAGTTACTGCTAGGCTGTTACTACTACTGAAGTCAAAACAGCTGCAGGAGAGGGAGGGTGGTGGCAGCAGGGGAAGCGGTTGAAGCCTTGAGACTGAGCTGTGAGGGGAGACCCAGAGGTGTGCTGTCGCCACCTCTGTGTGACTGAGACTCCTACCCCCTCAGGTGAATTCAAGGACCCTGACAGGTGCTGCTGGAAACACAAGCCATGCACTGGGCACATCATGTACCCCTTCGCCTCTGCCTATGGCCACCACGATCTGCACCTGCACTCTGTCAGCCACTGTGACTGTGACTCTAGGTAAGGGCCCTCGTCCTCGAGTGACCCCAGCTCAGGAGAGACTCCTGGGAAGAACCAAATCCAAACTTTCACTGTGGTTTCCTCCCTCAAACTTTGGTGCCCCTTCAGCTTTGACTTGGCGCTGCCAGCCCAGCCCCAACTTTGTAAACCTGCCTCTGCTCCAAGAGTAATGGGGAGAAAGTCTTCTGGCAGGCTGGGCTGAGCCCAGCACAAGCCTGTTGTCCCTTAGCCTTCTCACTCTCGGCCCCTTGGGAGTGATGGAGGCATGGAAGCCAGGCGAGTCCCCTGTGTGGCAGGCTGAAGGACTGCTCAAAGACAAATACCAGCAGCTTCCGAGATGGGGGCCCAACCTGCTCCCGAGATGTGGGTTCAACTTGTTTCAAGATCATCCAGTCCCCTTGCCTTGAGTTCATCCCAGAGGAATTGTGTGTGGAGCGGTTCTGGTACGGCTGGTGAGTGACGGCGGGGGAGCAGGGGGCCCTCTCTGGGGCACTGGTTCCCACTCTCTACCAACTTTCTCTTTCCCTGTCTCCTTTTGTCCCAGGTGCAAAAGCTACAGGCCTGTCTCTGTGGCAGTGATCCACCATCCCATCCACCACGAGTGTGGGGCAGATGACCTAGATGAAGAAGAGGAAGAGGAGGAGGAGGAGGAGGAAGAAAAAAGCAAGCCTCCCATCCCGACCCAGGTGGGGCCCACCACCACACCCACTGATGCGGGCATGGGCATGGTCACGGGTACTCCTGACTCGGCAGCTCCCATTACCATCTGGCGCTCTGAGAGCCCCACAGGGAAGTCCCAGGGCAGCAAGGTGATCAAGAAGATCAAGAAGAAAAAGGAAAAAGAGAAAGACAAGGAGGAGGAGTCAGATGAGAAGACAAAGCTGAAGAAAAAAGTCAAGAAGGGCAAGCTGCCTAAGAAGAAAAGCCTGGTTAAATCAGAATCTCCACCTCCAGACTTGAGCCGATCACTAAGCCCAAGAGAGTTGGTCAGGATGTCAGAGTCCAGCCCAGACACTCGGGAAGACCTGGAGAGTGAGGACAGTTACAATGACCCCGGGCGGGAGGCACCCTCTAGTGAGGATATTGTGGAGTCTTCATTGCCCAAGAAGAGAGAGAAGAACACGGTCCAGGCCAAGCAGCCCAGGGTAAAGGCCTCACCGATCAAGAAGGTCAACAAGAGGAAATCTCCCCCAGCATCAAACCCCAATCTCAGTTGAGGCCAGGGCGACCAGGGTGAAGAATAAATGCGATCAAGCCTGTCGCTGACCCTTGCTGCTCTTCTCTCTCCCTCCAATCTGGCTACTTCTGGGGGTAAGGGGTGGCCTCTGGGCATAGCTAAAGCCAAGGGGCTAGGGGGCTGCAGGGGTTTCTGAAGGGCAACTCATCTTTCCAGAGGAGGTCCATGGGAAGGTAGGTGGGAGGGAAAGGAGATACAGCCAGTTTCTCTGTAATATCCTAGGCCCAGGGCAGGAGAAGAGCACATCTGGGTGGGGTGGGCAGGGGGCTTCCTGACTACTGGGAGATTGGTCTGTGTGAAATCCACTTGGGGACAGGCAGTACCGTCTGCAGTGATGCACCTAATAAATTGAACCTTTTAACTCACTGTGTGCCACAGTGCCTGGCCTTTCCCTCCTCTAAGTGGCCCTGGGGAAGGTGCTGGTGGCACCAAAGGAAATGTGATCTTCCCAGTGGGGGTGGCCCTGCTCCTGCTGGGCCCTTCCACACCTTTTGTGCTGAAGGGAATGGAACTAATTTCCTGGCAGAAGGCCAGCCCCTTCCCCCTGACTCTTGCCAACAGAAGAGCTAGAGACCTTAAATGAAGGAAAGCGAGGTGGGTGTTCACCAAAGTTGGGCAGCAGTGGCCTTTTCTGACTTTTCTGCTGAGGCCCAAGCAGAGGAAAGGGAGGGGAAAGCTTCACTTCACTAGCACCGACTTACAAAACTGTGAGGTGAAGCCCTTGTGAAGAAATACACGGAGGGCCCGGCCCCGAGACCTAGTGGTTAAATTCAGTGGACAGTGTGCTCTGCTTTGGTGGCCCGAGCTTGGTTCCCCGGCACGGACCTACACCACTCGTCAGCAGCCATGCTGAGGCAGTGACCCACATACACAACAATAGAGGAAGACTGGCACAGATGTTAGCTCAGGGTGAATCTTCCTCAAGCAAAAAGAAGATTGGTGATGCTTGTTAGCTAGGGTGGATCTTCCTCAGCAAAGAAACAACAACAAACAAAAAAAACCCCAGGGAGATCAGGAGTCCAGAACAAAAGAGGCAGTGGGGCTGGGGAAGAGACCAGGGCCAGTGGACAGGCCTCCCCTGTGACGTTCCAGCTCCTTTTTCCAGGGCCAGTGTGTGTGTGGGAGCAGGTGAGCGTGGGGCCCATCCTGGGGCAGAAGCACCTGACTTGCGTGGAGATAATGTCAGAGACCAAGGCCCAGCTGGCAAAAAGGGGAGAGTGAGGTGTAAGGGATTAAGTTGAGAAACCTAGATTTACTTGTGGCTGTTCTCCAATGTGCCAGAGAAGACTAGTAGGTACAGTGGACAGGGTGGCTGTGAGTGAGTGTAATAATAGTAGCTAACACTGCTGAGCCTTATGAGGTCCAGGCACTGGGCTAAAGTATGCACTTCACACATTCCATCTCAGTCCTCACAGCCTGACACCAGATGAGGTGGGTAGCACCACCTCCATTTTAAAAATAAGAAAGCTGGCCTAGAGACAACAAGAGGTTGGTCGAGATCACAGGGCTGGGAAGTGGAGCAGGGATGCGACCACAGGCAGTCTGAGGCAGAAGCTGCCTGCTCTTCTATGAGTCATTGCCTTTCTGATGGCCTGGAAGAGGGAGTCAGGGGAGCCCTGAGAGATCCAAAAACTGCTTCGAAAGCCACCCCTCAATAGCTGGAGAGCTGGAGAGAGAGGCTTTGTCAAGTGCTCTGTAGAAACACTGTTTATTCAAACGACAGGCAGGAAGCAGCGGCAGCAGGTGGGTGAGGGCAGCCAGGCGGGGGCTCGGCAGGTTAGCACTGCTCCTCTATGTCCCCTGCAATCCTGCTCTGATAGCCACCCAAGCTGTTGGCATCAGGGTCAGAAATACTTCCCCTCCTCTCCCTCCTGCCACAAACTGAATAAATAGCATCCCTCTCCCCACAAGAGTTGGGGGGTCTCATGTGCTGAGCTTTGTGCCCTGGTCACAGCCCAAAGTCAGGTGAGGGCAGAAGCTCAAAATGGCTTGTAGGGAGTAGAATACAAAACTGTTCCACTCTCATTCTCTTCCTCCTCTTCTTCCTCCCTGCCACACTCCCCTCCCAGCCTGGTCCCAGGACAGGTGGTCGGTGAGAGCCTGGAGTGGGAGAATTGTCGCCTAACGTATATTGAGCTCAAGTTCGCAAGGCATCCAGGCTGTCACCCATCCAGGCTGACCACCAATGAGAACGTCAATTCACGTCACTTTATGGACAGAAAAGGAGGAGCAGGGAGTGAGGCAGTGGGAGGCCAGACCTCTCCCAGCCTCAGAGGTAACCCGAGTCCTAGGAGCAGGTCCCCTACCGATCCATCTCGTCCAGAAGCGGGGTGGCATCGCCAGCAATGGACATGGGGGTGCTTTCGATCATGGGGCTGGGGGAGGGCCGAGGTGTCAGCCGCTGCTTCTGTTTCCGCCGCTCTGCCTCCTTCTCCTGAAGCCACTGTTCCGCCATCTTCCCCCAGTCGATGGCTGCGTGGCTGTTGGACCTTGGAGGGAGAAGAAGGGGCCTTTGAGACTGGGGCTCTCCAGGGTTGCACTAGAAGGAAGCCTCACCAATCACTGGTGAGTACCCATCTTTGCAGTAGTGAATCTCACACCTCTGCTGGGTGTGAGATGAGAAGCTGCCACATTGCCCTCTTCTGTCTTCTCCCAGAAAGCAGTCCTCCTGGGGACATCACCTGGGTCATGGCTCTCGGAAGACCCAGAGTACCTGCCTATGCTAAGCTCCTCGGCCTCCTGACATCGCCTGCCCCTGCTCCGTGCCACTATCCATATACTCACTTTGGCTGCTGCTGCCGTTGCCGCGAGCTGGAGGAAGGCTGGGGCTGGGCCTGGGCAGACTGCGGGGTGGTGCTGGCCTGTAGCTGGTGGTACTGTGGTGTGGTGATGGGCTGGCTTGGGGTCGTGTAAGAGTAGCTGGGGGTCATTAGTGGTGTGGCCACTGGCTGCTGGGCTGGCGTTGGGAACACCTGGAGAAGGGCGAACAGTTAAAGGGGGATGGGTTCTGAGCTTATTTGGCCTTGCTGTGAACTTCTGGCAAGCTGAAAGTTTGGGCTCAGCACAGAGCTTTCCAGCTGACCCTCTCTTGAGCAGTGTGTGGTCTTAGCAGCAGGGGTAGACCAGTGGGGTGGGACCTGGCACAACAATGGGACCCACCAATCCTGACCACTTCAGGTTTCTAACAGCCTGAAGGTTCCAAAGATCCCAAAGGATTGTGGAAAGGTCAGTCCTCTTATTCCCCTTCCCCCCAAACGGGCTTAAGAAACAGGAACGATCTGCTTGGGACAGTTGCTAAGGTTGTGGCAGCCCCATCTGTGCATATGAAGCCCCTCGTGGTGGACGCTGCCAGAGGTCAGTCTATGGAGGTGGCTGGTAAATGATGACCATTCCCTTTCACTCTTTCCCAACCTCCGCAGGGAGCCCCCTCCCCAGGCCACGTACGTGATAAGCGCTGCTGCCCCCTCCACTGCCACCATAGCCATACTGGCTAGAGGCCCACTGGGCTGGGGTGGCATTAGGGTTCTGTCCTTGGCCTGTCACAGCTGCAATGGCACTGAACATCTGCGAGGTCATGTTCTGGGGCAGGGCGTTCACAGCCCGTGTCAGATCTGTAAGCACACAGACATGGGAGATGGGCACTTTAGAGGTGCAAGTCCTTCTGGCTCCATCCCTCCAATTCCCTAGTCCCAGGCATGAGCTCCTCACCTGCAAGGTTGATGTTAGCTGGCGTAGCATTGATAGAAGCAGGTGTCCGGGTCCTGCTGCTGCTACTGGGGGTGATGCCTGTGGGAAATGGCCTGAATTACATTTCTCCAGAAACCTGTTTCTGGTTTCACAATTTAGGGGGCTGGAGGAGGTACTGAGATGAGTGGAAAGAAGAAGGGAAGGTGCAGAGGCAAAGCAGATAGAGAACTTCCCTAACGCTAGGAGGTTGGAGCAGGAGTAAGAGAGCTGAAATGACAGCCTCGGCCTCACCCCCTCCCATAGATGGCCAATGATTACCTTGAGTCAGGGCCTAGATGTCCCTCCTACCACACCCTAGAAGTCAGAGAGAGTGGAACTCACCTGGTACAGGATCTTGGTAATGATCCTTAAACCATCTGAAAAGTCCATTCACAGTTGGAAAGATTTGGCCTCGGTACCGGAATCCTTCTGGAGTCACCGTTACATATTCTATCCTGGGATTTTGGAAGGAAACATGCATCAGATACCACTTAGGGCCAGCTGCGAGAGAGCGGCCAGAACAGATCTCCACCACGTGAAGTAGCCACACTGGGTGCTAGGGGAAAGGAGAGGTGAAAGAGCCATCCCTGACTCTGTACAAGGAGGCTACACTCTGACTGGGGAGGCGAGGAGTGCGTGGCAGAGTACAGTCAAGCCAGGAGTCAGCAGCCCCTGGTGTGCTACATACAGGCTACCAGAGGAAGGCTTGCTGGTGGCTGGGCCACCATCCTAGGCTGCAGTATGATGGCAGCACACTGCAGGTGAAGGTGACACTGAAGTCAGAGAGTGTCAGGGTTGGAAGAGGCCCCCAAGAGCAGCAAAGCACAACTCGCCATGAGCCAGAATCTGGAAGAGCGTGGAAGGTGGTTAGTCTGCCCTTATTCAATACTTTGTACAGGAGAGAGTGGACAAGAGGCTGGGCTCTGGGTTCAGACTCAGTTCGAGTTCCAGTTTTGGCTCTGCCACTTACCACCTATATGACTTTATACCAAGTCACTAAACCAAAATCTCAACTTCATTTGTAAAATGAGGATAGCAGCACTTAAATCTATAGGGTGAGTGTGAGAAATAAGTGAGATAGTGCATGTAAAGCACTTATCACAACACCTAAATTAGGGTCGTGCTCAAAGACAGCTGTCAACAGCCAACAGACAACGCTAAGTATTGCCAAGTTCTCATTTACGTTAAGCTGAAACTTGCTTCTTAAATCTTCTATTCAAGTGTTGTTCATTCTGCAACACAAGGAGTCTATGCCCCTTTCCACAGGAAGCTATCATGTCGCTTCTGAGGTATCAGTTAAAGGTACACAGTTTGTTCAACTGTTCCTCACAGGACAGTTTCCAGCCCCCACACAGCCCTGGCTGCCATCCTCTAGAAGCACGCTGGTGAATGAGGAAAGGGTTCTCAGAAACAAGCACCATATTCCAGACGTGCCCAAGATAGGGCAGGGTCCAGAGTCTAGAGCTTCTTGTCATCTGGCTACTGAGCCCCCGCTCAAAGAGTCTACACAGTGTGTCACGTGTAGGCATAAGAGCAGAAATGCAAAGGCCCTGGACAAGGGCCAAAAGGAGGATGGCTGTGGGCAGGGCTTAGGTAGAGAAGGCTCATACAGTTATCAATCTGGGTAACTCACACAAAGAAAGCAGGTCTAAGGAAACTGGACTTTGTCCCATTGAGGGTGAGCACCAGAGGGACCCAGTTAAAGGAATACCTAGGAAGGCCACCTTGTCAAGTCATACACAGAAGGGAGCGGAGTGGGTTGATGCTGGAAAGAAGAGATGCTCTCCTGACCCATCCCTTCTGTGCAGGCAGAAGAGTTAGCACACTACAGCAACAGTGAGCCACCATGTGCTGAAAGCCCTGGCGAGGGTGAGGCAGAATGGAAAAGAGACCAGTATGCTGGCGACCATCTTTGCCAGTCAGGTGGAGAGCGTCTGGTGATTTCCATCACTCCTTGGGAGGGAGAAGAGGAGAACGGAACTCTTTTCACAGGGTTGATGGAAGTGCCTTTCTTATACGAATCTTTGCCTTTTGTCTCTAAATCATCACCCTCTTTCCCCACCTCCAACCTCCACCTCCATTCTAAACAGATAAGAGGAAAAAGGTAGTTAAGCAGAACTAGAGAGTACTGCTCTGGGGGCCTCTGACTCCTTTGCTAGCCTGTCTGTGGACCCCAGTGGCAGCACCTTCTCAGCACCAGTGCTCACCTGGGTTTACCCCGGGGCTGGTATCCCAGTAGGAACTTGCCGGGCAGTTCCTTGCAGGCACAGATGAAATAAGGGATGAAGGTGGGCTTCTCCTTCTTAGTTTTGATGAGCAGCTCCTCTAATTTCTGGGGGTAGAATGAGGGGGAGAGGTTGGGATAGTAGCATGCTTGGTATACAATGTCTGGCGCATATATGACGTACACTTCCTTCACCAGCTGAGCATCCCCTACACTGAAGGGAAACCATACATCCTTAAGTGACGGGGAGGTGTCATCCCTCGCAGGGCCCTGGGCTCACCTTCCGGTCCCCACCGCTGCAGTCCTGATAATACTTGTGGTTCAGAAGGTCCCGGGCAAAGGATGCCATGGGCTGGACATAGCGGGCAACGATCTCATCCAAGTCTTCAAACTCCTGTGGGAAGAAGGTAAAGGCTCCATGTGTCACATCCAGAGCTGAGATTCCTGGCCTTTCATCAAATCCACCCTGACGGCAACTCATAGGAGGGGTGGGCTTTTCAGCCCTGCTGTAGCCTTACTTCACTACAAAGTCCCCTCAATTTATCCACCTGTTCAAGTCATGCCCTAATTTATTAGCTTACGAGGCATAAAAGCCTTTAAATCATAAAACTTTGATTCTCCCCTGGTGCTTGGGAACAATAGGGAGCCTCATAAGATTTCTCTCCACTGAAAACAGGACAGAAAAACTTGATATGTCCGTGTGTGTATGTGCACGTGCATGCTGCATGTGTATTTTCTCCTCTTCCTCCAGTGGCTCTCTCTAGGTAGTCTATTTTAAAATTGGAGGACAGAGAAGGAAAGATGAAAGATACAAAACTGATATCAAATGACTAATTTCACAACAAACCTCCTGTTTTGCTGCTCTGTGTAGCTAAAACACATATGTTGCATACGAGTTACTAACGTCAGGTGAAAGCGGCCAGAAATGGCTTGCTTCTGGAAGTAGGAGTGGGATGGAATGTGGGCAGGGGCTGGCTCTCACCTCACTGTTGATCCACAGGGTGGCTCCCAGGCTGAAGGCATTTTCCTTGCCTTCTTCCCGCACATCCACGTGCTGGTAGATGCCGTCACTGACCTTCCAGGTCACTGTCAGGTGATTTTCGCCCTTGCTGCTCGGCCGGATAATCACATCACCCTGGTCCATGGTCTCCATCATCTTTTCTGCTTGCTTGAAATTTATATTATGGAAGGATGGGTGTGCAATCACTCGCTTGATGTATGCTGAAGAGGTCAGGAAAGAAGTGCAGATCAGGTGACGGGGCTGGGTGCTGACAGCAACGGGACAAACCATGGCTGCATTTCTGCTTCACTACTGCATTCTGAGACTCTCTCACCCTCTCTCGACCTGGATTCTCTGATGTGAAGGATGTGTTAACCTGGGTTCCCAGGGTCCTGAGAAGATGAAGCTTTAAGAGTCACAGTACATTAGCAAAGAAAATGTGACCCCAAAAGACCCTGGTTTCCAGCCCTGCAAGTGACTCCCTTTCATGATGTCTCTGGGCCTCAGCACCTCAAAGCTGAGCACTCACTCCTACCAGGAGGCTAAGCAAGGGAAACAGCCACTAGCACATGCATCCTGTAGAGGGACGGCTGCCAAGACTCGGGCTGCATAGGGATGGTGGTGGGCACACTCACTGGTCCGCTGCTGCTTCCGCTTCATGTCCTCCTCCTGCTTATGGTCTGCTGCCTCAGCATCAAAATCATAGTAGGTGTCCTTGGGCAGTTTCCACTCGTTGTTCCTGTCCATGAGGTCTGAGGTACGGCAGGTCAGGTCTGCACTAAACTTCTCGATGTCAATCTTCATTATGCGGCAGTGAACAGTCATTCCCACCTAGATCCACAGAACATTTGAGCTGGAAGGGACAAAGGTGATCTAGCCCGATGCCCTATTTTATATATAAGAAAACCGAAGTCCAGGCAGAAAGCTGGAGTGACTTGCC